ACACTTAAGTGGAAATAAAATAAAACTGATTGTAGTGTAAAGAAAAATACAGATTTTTTTTTTCTCTTCTTACTTTATGACCACCAATTGATAAGCTGTTATTTTGGTGTGTAACAGCGACTGAAGTGAAGAAGAAAATATCGGAATTTGTGGTGAATAAGGAACGAAGTTTAGACCCCTAACCAGATAATAGTTGTCTAGATTTATTTAACTCAATAAGTGCACCTAATATTTGAAAAACGAAAAAAAAACAATGCAAAAAATACATTTTTTAGTAATTGGTTATCCTTTGATCCAAGAGAAAAAATTTCCTTTTTTAGATAAAAAAGTTTTCACTTTTTTTTCCCTCTTTTAAGATTGATGCTTTTATTTTACTGAACTTTGTGAAAGTCAAATTTGCTGCTCAATATAACATCTGTCATATGGAAAGCACCTCCCAAAACTATGCTGCTGTATTCACTGAAACAATTTTTACATAAAATAACTGTATAACAGTGACAATTTCATTTTCTGCTCATAATAGGTTAAAATTTTCCGAGATCATTTTTTTTACAGGCCCAATAGTTCAGGCTACAATTCTGTCGGCATTGTTAAACCATCCTTGTCTGCCTCCTAGTTTTTTTTTTTTTGCGATCAAAAATATCTCAATACAGCAGTATCTGTTCTGTCTGTGATTTTAACAGCAAACTTGGAACATTGACAACAGAACAAAAAGCTGTGAAGAGTACCGGTAGGAAAAACTAAGGATATAAAGAGAATTGAGTTTGGATAAAACTTCTCAAAACAATAAAATTTAGATGTAATTTATTGAAAAACGTTTGTGGAGAAAAAAGCAGAGTGCATAAAAGGCATAATTTACGTTCAGTTGCAATAAATTTTTTCCCTGTTTTACAAGTCATCATCTGAAATATATTTTTAAAAAAATCTCCAGTATTCCATTAGAAAATAAAAGAAAGACAAAAAAGTAACATAAAAAAATTTTCTTCCAATCATTTCATTCTGTTATAACAATTGATTAGGTATTATCATTAAAAACTTTCTACAAAAAACTATACCTGACTATCATATAACAACTGATAAAGTGTTCAAAAGAAGCAAGTTATCAGAAATGTTTAGATGATTTTAAGGGTGTAATAAATCAATTGATACTATTAAATATTGTTAGTAACAAAAAAAAAA